CACGAAGTGGTTAAAAGATAAGTCTCTGCTATCCTAGCTCAATAATGAAGACTTCTAAAAGTTTGTTAGGTAGAATCCTTTACTAAAGGCCTCGACCTCACATTTATAATAAATGTTGCAGATGAAAATTCTGTTAAACCTGTTTGGAGATTTACATTGTCATGACACGTGAATTGGGGGCATTATTCAGGCTGGGGGCATTTATAAATGTTTATTCTGGTGGGCCGGAGTATTTTTTTTTTCTGTTTTCAAAATTCTTTGAAAATTGATATCTTCATGTACTGGACACCCACACAAAGGACTGTCAGTTTGCTGCTCTTATCTAACAGACAACATCTACTTCATTGAGTCCAGACTATTTCAGCCAGGCCTGCCGCCTTGCAAAAAGAGCCCAGACTGTGTGGTGTTATGTACTTTTCTCTTGTTTCCGAATCTGGCACAGTGCACAGCTGACCTCTTTTCAATAGGGGCCAGTTTAGCGTGCAGCGATACTGTGTGGCTCATCACTGCAGCAGTGGAATGCTTTTGTCTCTGGTGGAAATCCACTTGCACTGAATGCCACAAACAGTGGTGTACTGTTTCAAAACAGTGCAAAGTCAAGTGGCCCATAGGACCTGGAGTTTTGGAAAATCAGCTGGTTTTATTCTAATTCCACTTAAGGTGACACATTCAATATATACATGGTATTAGTGGGTGATAATCATTAGTGTTTCCATGCAGCAAAAACAAAATCGTTCTCATTGCTGTCTCGTGTTATGGCCATCTAGAAGTCCAAATGAAAGACGTTACCATGGGTTTTGCCGAAAGGTTATACCACCGTACAGAATGTACTGATGTTACGCAACAGCACTGTGCATGCACTTGAGTGGTTGTTTTTCATTAAATTTGTAACAATTGGATTAAGGCCTTTAAGTAATGAAATGCTTGTAGACCTTCTTTATGTAAAACAAAGACGCTCTATTCGTGCAAAACAATGGAGTGGTAGAAACTATAGCATGAATAGCATGAAGTCCCAGGTAGAGATTTAGTCGCATGACACCCTCAGTACAAGCCATCCTTGGGTAAGAATGGGCCTGGCTTCACCCTTCGACTCATTCTCACCCATGAATGTCATGTACCTTGGGCATTATTCTTGAAATAATAGCAAGATTAATTTTTTGGACCTTAACTGTGGGCAACAGCAGCGGAAAGACTTTCAAAATTGAGGGCCAGTTAAGAGACCATCAGGCATTAGCTATCACAATGAGGACTCATTAAGCCCCATTCCATTACAGGACCTGCAAAAAGTGTGTGGGGGATGGCCCCCCAGACAAAAAAGTGGGGGCCACTGGTCCCCCTTACCACCCTCCTGCTGCCAACGATTTTGGGGTTCACAATGTTTTTTCTTTGTCGCCTATTTGTTGGGACCGAAAATACTATAGGGACAATTTTGTCCAAACAACCTCAGTCGACAGTTTCAAAAGAAATTGTCCCTTTACTCAGTGAAGTCTCTTCTAGGCACAAACACATTCATTACCATGCAAACTGGAAACTTATATTATCACACTGAATTGTAGAGTTTCTTATCTTGGTCTCTCAAACTGATTTACAATTAGAACCAACACAATATATTGGGACTTTTCTCTACATGCTTCCAACCGACTGGACAACAATAATAATACAAGTACAGAACTCACCTTTACCAAATCCAGCACTGATTGCATAATCTGCCATGGCTTGCACTTTACCCTGTTTACACATACATACAGCAGCTTGTATTTGTGCATCAACCTCAGTATACACTGCTTCAGCCAGGGGAAGACCTTTACTAAGAATATCTTCACTTTTTCCTTGGGTGTAGTTGTACAGAAGATGGCCAAGTGGTTCTGAGCATGTCAGTCTGTGGTTTAAAGGTAAATACAAGAACTTTAAAACAATGTTAATGAGAAGGTCATCCTGTTCTGGTGTTCTGGCTCAACCCAATCATTTATCGCTTCCTTATGTGTTCCCTGTTGCTGTTGTCTGTGTTAATGGCTTCATTTTTTTCCTCTTGACGATTATTTCTTACGGCTTCTGTTCAAGATAATTAAGTGTTTGGTGTAAATAATTTTGATATACCTAGATAATTTTCTGATGTTCAACCATTATTCATAAATACCTCAGAAAGTGTCCCCATTCACAAAATACAACTTGACTGTGTATTAACATTCGATAGTGCCTGCTGAGAAGTGATAAAATGCCCGCTGTGCAAATCATGTGCTGACACCTGGATACGAGACAGTTTAATTGATTTTGATTGGTCAAAATCTGTGTGTATGCGGCTTGCCACATGCGCACAAAGTCCATATAAGGAGATTCTATCGGACATTTTGCACAAGGAATATACCATAAAATGGATTGAGGTGTTGGTGAAAATGAGAGTAAAATTAAAACGGTTGGAAATCCATCCTATATTGACTCCTTTTGACCCTCTGTCTAAAGATCGAATTTTTGAATGGGAATAAACATGTGCTTGGTCGGTAATGTTTAAGAACTTGCTGAGGCAAATGAATGCTGATAATGCTGATAATTAGTTGTGTCCATTCTCCTGAGCCGGTCTTAACCACTTCCTGCCGGGGACTCCAGAATCGGAGACATACGGTTTATATGGGTGGGAGGGGTCTCCAAACTCGGACAAAGGAAACAGGGCCCTGTAACAAAAGACTGTACTCCGAACACAAGACCAGGCTGCTGGGCATTACCGACAGCCTTGTTTTGAAACCATATACCAGGGTTTGGGGCATTGAGAGCGAGCGGATTACCACCGGGGACAAAAGCGCTCCANAGGCCAGCAGTGCACTAAGCCAGGTTCGTGAACAAAAGACAGTTATACGATACCACACAATCTGGGCTCTGTTTACAAGGCTGCTGGCCTAGCTGAAATACTTGGGCGTTAATGAAGGTCACCTGTCAACTTAGAGTAGTGCCTAAAGATTACTTGGTGCGGCTATAAATGACCGTTAAATGAAACGGAAAAAATGATAGTCATACCAGCCCAGCATCATCACCATTGAAAAATGCCCCGGCATGAAGTGGTTAAAGGTCTAAAATTTATTCCCTTAATAATGATCAACCTTTGTATCAGTTCAATAATAAATACACACATGTGTGACCACTTGTGTGGAGTAGAAGTACTGGAATTGTAAACATCAAAAAAGATTTGCATAAAGATCAATGAACAGTCCACTGCTGCATACAGTGGTTCCTGAATGTGTCAGTGTGCAATGTTGTATGTTTTCTTGCGGGGGGGGGTGAACAGAGAAATAACTCCACCTGCTGTGAGGTCCACTCTCAGTTAAACCGAGTTGATTAGCAGTGGTTTGGTCAATGGAACACAACTACTTATCAAATTATACAATAAATGATAACATATATTATAAATAATAATAGTAATAAATATCACACATACATCTGTATAATTAACATCACCTCCTTGTGTCATATGGTTCTGCTTTTCAGATTTCCATGCAGGGGTAACCCTTATTGATTCCCATTCCCCAGTTCCCAGCACAAATTGGTGCCAGTGCATGCGGGCACTGTAGGGTATACATGAAGGGCAGAATCTGATGAATTGTCATGGCAGCAATGTCAGTTTTAGTGGCTTGATACCAACTCCCTTGATCCATCTGTACAGTGAACACTCTCTGTCGTCTCATTCGGGCCACCCTTAACTTCCTTGGCCTCCTTCACAGCCCTTTCTGTCTCCTGGAAGAACCCAGTTTAAAACAGAAGTCCCCATACAGAACGAACGTGAAAGGGTCCACACAGAGTGTTCGGTACAGCAGTCATTCGGTAGACCTTTATCACAGTTCAAAGGTCAAGCGCTCAAAACAGTCGGTATGAGTTCTGTGTGCCATTATGTGAGAGTATCAGCAGCAATGAAAACAATTCTTCAATATTTAAAGACAGAAATCTTTGACAAAAAAGTTGATTGCTGCAATCGGGTGGGATGAAAGCCCTCTGTTCAGGTTTGTTATGTGATAGTAATGTTAATAAGACAGACAAGCCAAAACGTTAGCCACTCATGGAAGACACGACTGCTGCCAAACCATAACTGGTTGCCCAGGCATGACCAGGCATTAGCCTAGGCCTAATTAAAGCTAGACTATGCATAGACAAATATCAAATTGACTTACACTCGTGGTAGTATTACTAGGGGTCTACATTGTGGATTAAATCTTTAAAAGAATGGAACCCTTCCAAGGCTTCATAAGGTCTATTTGCCAGTAGGACTGGGAGGCCTACTAGAATGCATGGTGCTGGAGATATTTCCAGGGCTGCTAATGCCCATACATCAAGTGTCTACACACTGAATAAAGCGACAATGTCAGGACAATCAACAAATGCAGCCAATTTGGCAAGTGCCATTTCCTGTTTCTGAAGAACTGTCACCCATTTTGTATCGAATTCCAGGCACCATGATCTCTTAAAAGTGTGAAGACAGAGAACAGCCTTATTGACTCCAAAAAAAAGTTAACAACTACTTGGTGGAGGAACCCCTCAATCTGCTCAAAATATACAAGAAGAAAATCTTGGAATAACCCCAACAGTCCTCAATCCTTTACCTGTTCCAGGACTGAGGATTGTTAGGGATTAAGTCCCTGTTAAAGCCTGATCAATACTCTAGAGTTGGGGAAAAGTGTCGTTACTAAAAGTGGCAGGGAAACTAAAGTACAGTCTGGGAAGTTATTCGGCAGCAGCTGGGCAACATGTCTTTACAAAGAAATAATGACATTAGGTAGAGTACATAATAAAAAGGCGAAGCTTTTGGGGACCTTATTACCAGAATGTTGTCTAACAGGAGTTTGATGGAAGGTTGCCAAAAAAATAAACACTTTAGTATAAGGGCCTATTTAAGTGTCAATATGTTTTTATTTGTATGTTTTAATAACACTGTTATGTTTGAAAAACTATCATATCTGTGACAGCGGTTACACAATGGAAGAAGCCGATTTTGTTCCTGATTATGGTCCATCATCAGAGGAAAACAAAGCAGACATACCCGAACCAGATGCAGATTCCACTGCAGGCCATGATGCAAGCATTATCCAAGACAGTGCGTCTCCAACCAGAAACAAGTAAAAGTCATCAACGATCCAGAAGTAAGCCAAGGCTCGACTATCAATCAAGGTGACAGATCTAGATGGTCAAAGAGTCTTCAGCTGTGTCCCGTACGTGGATGCTCAGTAATATCAAACAAAATGAGACGCCATGTGATACGATGTCACATTTGTTCAGATAAATGGTGGTTCTTATACCCGTTGGCCAGCTGTTGGAAATGCAAGCGATGGGAGATCACCATCCACGTCAGGGAGCGTGGCCCATTCCAGACGGACGAACACCTCGGCCAACTGAACAACCTCGTGTCAAATTCTTGCATTTCCTATCAGGCCAGCTTCAGTTAAAGTCTCTCACACAAATTCATTGTATAGCACTGAGGAGACTGAAGTCTGGGATGCCTATGATGAATATCAGGGTCTGCCCTCTGTGCTGGAGCGAAATCTACAATTTCCAATGCAGGTCTCCTTGATCCTCCATTGGAGAACTCTCCAGCTCTTTCTTGCCTTGGTTCAGTGATCCAACCAACACAAAGCTTGTCACTGGGGAGGTCACCCGCATCAGGAGGATTAAGGAGGAAGCTGTCCTTAAGCAGTGTGTGGAAAACACGAGGCAGCTGTATGGCTTTAATATGTAAGTGCAAAGGTAGAAATACTGGGGCCAGAAATCTACAACTTAGGTCATTATTTTGTAAAGTTTTAAAAAATTTAGTTCAGCATATTTTCTTTAAAGGAAAGAAAGTGGCTCTGATAAGGAAATAAAATTAAAGCCATTTTAATTACAATCCAAAATCCAAATTAAAATACAATCCAAGCTGTTTTCTGGCATTTGGAAATAAAGTTAATACATTTGTTGGTATGACACGAAAAGTAAGAAAACGAAAACAGTAGACAATTGTTTTGATTTCAACTCAGTTTTGTGAACAACTAAAAGTCAAACATTTCAAGTGCCTATTCCGCAGGGGAAATGAAAGAAGGAAAGGAATCCCATCATTTCCAAGAAAAGTATCCTTGAAGGGCAGCAATGGTTTCCAAGTAAGAAGAAAACAGAAATTTTGTATAAAGAAGGTGTCCTGGAGGGGCACGATGTTTATGAGTAAAAGAAAAAGAAACCGTTGCAATATCATATTGAGTTATTTGCCGAAGAAAGAAAAAATGTGCCAAAAAATATGATAGGGAGAAATGTAGTGATGTTGAATAGTCATAATAAACCAGTCAATCATGTCCATCATGAGCAGTGGCCTGGCCACCGCCTGCGGCGCGATAGTCTTGAGTGCGGCATCCAACAGTGAAGAGGCGTCCCTCATTTCTTGTGTGACTGTGTCCGTGCAGCTGTTGCTGTAAGCAAGGCCTCAAGGCAAAGACCACTGCTACACAACGGGTGGAAAGGTGTCGTCCCCATGCGACCATCCCAGCAGCATCAACAGAAAGGTCTGCTGCTGTAAAAGATTGTTGGACAATCGCCAGCATGTCAGGTGTAAATCAGTTGGTCCAGGGTGCAGGACACCCAACTTCGGTTGCCATAGACTGTGTGGTCTCTCTGGTAGTCGTGTCAGTGATCCCACAGGTAGTCTGGTCAAGCAGGGAAACCATAGTTGGTGTGCCCAAAAAAACCATGATGAGTATACGGCAGTGTTCTTGCTCGATAGATATGGATAAGACCTCAGGAATGAGAGAGGGAAGGAGTCCACAAATCAATGCACAAGGCATGTTCTTCATAAAGTGGACCAAAATGCAACTCCACATGTCATTTTTCAAACTTCTAAAAGAGTGACTTTGATAAAAAAAAAATAACACCTTCAGATTCATGAAAATGATTATTTGGGGATAATTAGGCATACTGTGTACATTTGGTGGACCTTTTGGTTGGCTACCTGCATCTACGACTCCTGTACCAGACCTGTCACTAGCACCAGAGGACTTGATTTCACCTCTTGATTTGACCTCTCTCAACATCAAGGAGAATTCAGTGGTTTTTTCAACTGATGCATTTTGAAACATCTAAGAAATAACTTTACAAAAATATAAGCAATGAAAAAAGAGCACAAAATTGACGGAAAATGATGAGAAAAGTTTGGCTCTCTTCATTCTCTTACCGTTTAGAATCATTCTCACTATACCAGCATGTATGCCAGGTCTTATACCTTTCAACCACTGAAAATAATCTTAAGTTTGGCTGCATCAGAAATATATTATGAGTACAATATGTCCGTTGTGAACGTCATATATGACAGAATTTGATGACGCTCGAGAATTTTGACCAAAAAAATGATGTTCGCAACTGCCGACTTCGGGACCCGATTAATTGTGAGAGGTACTTTTTAATTTCATGATTATGGTTTTAATATGTGTAAATATTATCCCCTTTTACCACATGTAAATCCGTGTAAAATAACCGCGGGGATAATCACTCCTCGGTAAATTTTATTGGCTAGGATTTCAACAAGTTGTTCTCGTCCATCAAAAATGGTAATGTTCAAGACTATATTTAACTCCAATAAGTTGAAAAATTAAGAAAGAAATTCACTGCTGTTCTCTTCAGGAAAAATGAACCCCCACAGTTGAACATTATCTAATGGTCCATATTTTGAGGAACCTGCCATATTCAGGTCTGGTGTCTTGGATAACATCACAGTTTTGCTAATGAATACACCAATTCACATGAGCATAACAACCAAATAGGCCCCAAAATATGGATTAAATAGCAAAACAAAGATTAAAAGTAAGGTAATAATTGAAGCACAAGGGTCTAATTTCAATTTCAGTAAATATTGCCCCTTTAACATGACCCCAATATCCAGGAAGAAAGCAAGCACAGTCGGTAACAAATTAAACCAAATTGCACATCACCCTATTCCTGTAAAATAACTAGTTACCATAACAATGGGATATGATAGTGGTTTATGACCAAGGAAAACCAAGTTGTTTCTCAAAGTCTGATTTATTTACATAGAAATTCAACAACTGCAGGGTATATCATATGAATATTTTTTCCAAAATTATTTACACAAGGGTAATTTCTCTTAAAATCAAGTTTCACTCGGTGACACAGGGCTTAGCTCTGCAAACTATATGTACACTGTATCTGCACACGAAGCTCCTTGAAGATCCACATGGCACATTTATCTGCTGCCTCCAGATTACATGAATGTATTCAGGCCTACTATTAGAAGTCAACCATTTTCTGAGCCCAATGATCTGCACATCCTAGACGTCTTGTATATTCCACATGACATTGTCAGATGCACTCTGTGTAAACAAATGCTGAACGTAAAATCAGGTTGGAGACACCATGGTAAAGACTTACACAAGATTGCTGGTGGATTACCCCCAAGATTATAAGTAAAAAAAACCAAACTGGACGACGTTGAAAAGAGAACGTTTCCTCATTGGTGAAAGTGGCATTCACAGATCATAGAACATCACTGAAAAAAAAAACTGAATGTTGGTGTAAATCCTGTTGGGATATCAGTGTGCCAGAGAAGCTGGATCTGGCTAACCGAAACACTGAATGGGTTATTAAAGGTTACCATGAGTCATCAATGCCACCAATGACAAAATAATGAGGCAATTGCTAACAAAAATGCAAGACTGCTCACCCCTTCGGAAGCCATCAAGATAAATATGTCAACAGTTGCCAGCCAATTCTGCCATCAAGACCAAACATTTTTTTAGGAGACAATATGATGGTGAGATATTTCTATTATCTCATCAAGGGAGGCAATGCCAGGAGATAGAGAGACATGGACCCTGTGTGGAGTGCTGACAGTTATCCATCGACAAAATGATAAAGGAGAAACTTGACATCTTTAATCTGTTGTATCTGTTACGTTTTCTTGCAGACAAAAGTTCTGTATGTTGTATTTGGGATTGATTTTACCTGATGCCATACTTGATAAGAATAAGCCCCCAGGTGTGAATCTGGGCCCCGCTCAAAAAAAGGCTAAACAAATGGAGAAATAATAAAAACAAAATAAAGTGTACAAAGGTAAGTGCACCAATACCACTGTAAGCAATGTATATCATGTAATGTTCATCATCATTTCCACTGGTCTGCACAAATGAGACATTACAAACAAAATCTCTGGCCTGATGACCCCTTCCCTAGAAAAATTCCTGGATCTGCCCCTGGACCCAGAGCAAAAGCCCAGAACAAAATTGCACGCACTGCTGGTCTCCATTTGTACACTGACTACGGCTCTTTTGCTTTTGAGGTAAATCAAGCCCCTCCGTAGAGACTTGCACTGTTAATGCTGATACCTCAACCCAACTGCCAGTTGATTGTAAATTAATATGTAATTAATAGTCCTATTGATTGATAGCTAAAGGAATGTAAAGTCCTACTCCTAAAAATCCCTGAAATCCCCTGTGATAAATCAAACAGTGAAAAGTGTGACGCCTCTCAATATTGAAGTTCCTGATGTTATCCTATATTTTATCATTTGCATAACATGACTGTCAAAGGAATGTACCAGGTTATTTGGTAATAACCTGGGGTTCAGCTCCTGGTTTCTGAAGTTTGGACAAACACATTTACAACCACTTATAACAATCTGTCACACAGAGTGTGTTGCAATGAAGCAACACGACCCAACAAACCCTGAAAAAGATTATTGATGTCTTTGAAGAAGAGATGCACGTTCAAGCCCTAGTACAGAGATTCATAAGGTATAACATCTTGAATATCAACAAACAATGGTTTCAAATCAACACAAGCTTTATTTCTACAACTAATGCTAAGTACGACAAGACAGTGAAAGAAATGCCACTGAAGAAACTGAAAACTTCCAGAGCAACACCCTGGAGAATGCAATCACCCATAACCATGAAACTGAATGGTTTGTGAGATTATGTTCCAAAGACATTTCGAAACCCAATAGAAGCAAATAATCACTGTGGGTTACCTTGACGAAGCCCTCAAATCAAATGGAAGAACCTTGGCCACAATGGGATCCAAAACTTCTGGTTTATGTGGATCTTGTCAGAGGAATGAACAACGTGTTCAAGACCAACCCAAACACATCCCATCTAGGCTAACACAAAGTATGACAATCTTGCTGTACAAGAAAGCTTAAAAGGTCAAAAGAATGAAAGAGTCATAGTGTGTTTGCCAACAATCTTCAAACTCCTAACAAGCATTCTCACCCCAAAATTGATTGATCTGTGCAAAGACAATATCATGGCTGAAGGGCAAAAAGGCTGTGGAAAAAGGGGCAATGGTGAAAAGAAATAACTGCAAATACCTCACTTGCATGAGTTATTACAAAGTTTAGGAATTAATTGTTGGATGACTTTATGGGATGTCTTCAGGTATTTACCATCAGCTTCTTCAGTAATTGGCTGATATGTCTGTATGTACTGCCTGTCATTTTGCTTTTAATATTCAGTACACTAATGAAAAATGCTACTGAAAAAAGGGAAAAACATACGAGTCATTAAATACATTAACTGAACATAAAAGTTGTTTTCAAACATAAAATAAACAAACCTTTTTTGAGCAAGCCAATACATCACTAGGTCAAGTCTATCTTCCACAAGGGCACTCTTTACACACTCAAGTGATGTTTCTGCATTTGGTAGTAAACCAACAGCCGGAACAGATGAAACCAGTGCCTCACAATAAATCAGAAGAGGTGATGTTTTGCCAGACCTAGCTGATATTCCTGACAAAGACAAAAAGACTTCAATGTCAAGTTTTAAAGATGATTTTGACAAATTAATAGTAAATATTTAGGTTGTAGTGAATGTTCAAAAAAAAATACTAAATGTTACATGATGACCACTGCACGAAATATTTTCACCTTGTTGGTGTTTTCACGAAGTGACAAAAACCTCAAAATCTTGCTGAACGGACATTCCGAGAAATATGCATTTGAAAAGAATAGCCACTTCAATACGCATTTTTTATTACATTTGCTGCATTCACTGCACTGGCTACCCATCTCCAAATGAATTCGCTATTTGTTATTACTTCTAGTTTACAAATCCTTTCATAATCAGTCACCAGAATATACATGTATGCAGTCCTGTATTCTGCCATAATCCTTTTCACAAAGCTATCACAAAGCTGGCAATAAAAACATTCACAGTCTCCGCAGGAAAGGATTGGAACAGTCTGCCATCTCACATTCAGTGTGCGATATCACTGGAGCATTTAAGACAATGCTCAAAACCTACCTGTTCCACCAATAACGATAATGACAAGATATATCCAATGTTAACTTTATTAGCGTATTAAGTTGATGTAATTATTTGACTAATTGTTATTTGTAAGCGCCGTGATTTAGTTTACTAAAAGAGTGTTTTAAATGCTGGTTATTATTCTTATTAATGACTAATTATATGTTGATAATGCAGTATTTTGATCATCTTCCCAAGCTTTCTATGGTGATGGGTCATTTTGGGGTGCTGCCACCACACCAATAAAGGACAGGGATCCACTGGACACACAATAACCACAACTTTAAAAACCATCTTGTTGATTAAGAAGTTTACTAACAAAGATGCAGAACGAAGGTCAGAGGTCAAATATTCTGGAGGGCACAATTGCTGCGAATGGAAATAAATGAGGTTTTAACATGGAATTGTTGTGAAGTGAGTTATATTATGATATGTTTCCTTTAAACGCAATTTAATCAAACTGCCCTTTAACATTAGTTGTTTAAAACATATGAATTACGACGGGCTTCAAAGTGGTCCTCCACTAAACAAAAAGTAGGTAATAGGCCTTCTCACGTTGTAACTCACTCCTGGTCTAATTAATTTATTCCTCAGTGAAATCTGAAAGGGGATTGAAATAATAATGTTGCCATGGTTGTGAGAAAACTTAGTTGGAACAGGCAAATGGGTATTGGGCCACAGGAAGATGGCCCATGGATATATGAGTTGACTGATACAGCCTCTCTCAATTTGGCCAGAGACACGGGAGAGCAAGAGCTCATGGTGAGAAATAATTTCATTCAATTTTACTTATACTTACCGGTTTCCTTTGAGCAATGTACATTTACATGAAAGTAAAACAATAGGTGTTACATGTAGTGATTTGCACATACATGGCTGACATGTATAGCCCTATATTGCCACTGCACCTTATCTGACCAGCATAAGAAAGAAAATATTATATTTAATATTAATTTATTTTAGCTCACGTAGGACGCATCCAGAGTTCCATTTTCCTACTGCTGACTTCTGTCTAGTGTTGGGTAAGCATCCTGTACTTATAGTAAGTTATCAGGGTCCTTGGACATTATTCCCGACAAGTTTCCTACTTTATTCTTTATCATTCAACAATTGTGTGTATAATCCAGACTTATATGAATTCTTAAAATTAATATGAATGTCGAACCTAATGTCGCCATTAAAATTGACTCCAGAGGTCTTTTCAGTAGTCAACAAAATAAAATAGTGAAACAACAGTCAAATGGGTGTTACTCCATTGCTGTGTGTGGTCGTCAACCTTGCTGCTCCCTGACTTTGGGATAAACAACCCCCCTGTTGATCAAGCTTAGGCAGGCAACACATCCAGTTATCCCCCATCATCAGATTTACTACAGAACAACAGAATCCTATTCAGTCTTCTACTTCTGTAGGCCTTTGCAACGATCTCAAAATTATGCAAACAGCATTTTTAGAGCCGATGATTTTCCGTGATTGCAGAAAATGAATGGAATTTGCAGAATCAACACTTTGAAATGGAAATCATTGCTTAAAATGGAACTTGCAAAATTTCCCACTAAGAATGGCTTCACAAGTAAAGAAAAATTTCCACAAAGAACCATAAATAAATGTGTACCAAACCCTTTAAAATTGTTGCTTTTAATGAACAAATTATGCTGGAAACATGCTGAATTGCACCACTCCACTACATGATTGGGTTGTCTGTGCTGGTACTGATATTTGCAAGCGCTACGGCATCTGTGAGCCTCAAGCGAGGGCAGCCGCCAGCACAGTGCAGCGACGTGGTATAGTGCACACACTGACCATTCACACGTGCACTGTACAAGCACTGAAATCAAGACACAAACAAGTTCATACTCACACATATGCTTAATGTAAACGAGGGGAATTCAGTCTGTGAATTTGCATAGATGCCTTGAGACAAGGCTCGTACCGCATGGCGAAACAGTGATACTGCGGCAAGAAAACGGAGGACTAATTACATATTCTTGAAGTAAACAAAACCAAGTAAACTTGGTGAACTATGAGTGGGCCCTTGGAAGTGTTCAATGAAGAGGAAAGTTTAAGGCTCAGATTTAATGATAACTTTCTGAATTCTGTCGCATCACTGCCAAATAAAATGGTGGGTCACTATCCAACATTTATATATGGTGGGGTCCATGTTGTTAACCTCCTCGTGGTGGGTAGGGTTACTGTTTTCAGAACTCGATTACAGGTGAACAACAACCTGAGACAACAGCAGCTTCGATACTATTCCTTCAATACTATTTGATACTATTCCTCAGAATGGACACTCAACAATTGCAACCTGAGACCAACCCGGAACACGTGCCCTCTTTAGGGCAGGCATCACCTGATGTCATACAGGAAGGTATCTCATTACTGCATCTTAACATAGAAGGTCTCACTGAAGCCAAGATCAACATCCTTTAACCACTTCCTGCCGGGGACTCCAGAATCGGAGACATATGGTTTATATGCGTGACCATGGTCTCCAAACTCGGAGAAAGGAAACAGGGCCCTGTAACAAAAGACCGTACTCTGAACAAAAGACCAGGCTGCTGGGCATTACTGACATTTTTTGCTCTCAAAAGTAGTGATAATCCAGCCTTGTTTTGAAACCGTATACCAGGTTTGGCGCACTGAGAGCGAGCGGATTACCACCGGAGACAAAAGCGCTCCACCACCGCAGCGATGAGCCACACAGCACTGCTGCACGCTAATCTGGCCCCTACTGAAAAGAGGTCAGCAGTGCACTGAGCCAGGTTCGTGAACAAAGACAGATATACAACACTGCACAATCTGGGCTCTGTTTACAAGGCTGCAGGCCTGGCTGAAATACTCAGGCGTCAATGTCACCTGTCAACTTAGCGTAGTGCCTAAAGATTAATTCCTGCGGCTATAAACGACCGTTAAATGAAATGACGAATTTTTGAAGCATTTTGAAAACGGAAAAAATGATAGTCATGCCGGCCCAGCAACATCAACATTGAAAAATGCCCCGGCATGAAGTGGTTAACATCTCTTTCAGACACACAAGGTCTCAACAGTTCTCCTGGAGGAGATGCATGTCTCTGATAGTTCTTACCTTAAGATTCTGGGCTTCATTTCAGCTGCTCAAATGACAAACGATATCCATGGGATTGCTACATTTGTTAGGAATTCCGCAAGATGGAAGGCCCTGGCCTCAAGTCTGCCAGACTCCCCTGTGGAATGGTCAGCAACACATGTTAAAGGTGTTACCATTGTTAACATAAGCCTCCTTCATTTTGACTGAGGGGATGACTCACTGCCTATCTTTAATGCACCCTGCATCTATGCTGGTGATTTCAGTCGCCAGAGTATCACATGGGGTTACAGGGTAACAAACTCAGATGGCACTGTACTAGAGGACTGAGCATCCCTAGCTGGTCTTCAACTTCTGTATGACCCCGAGCAGCCCAATAGTTTTCACTCAGGCAGGTGGAATACGATTACAAATCCCAACCTTGCTTTCACCAAAATGAGAGGACTTGAACCACACTGTGTGATCCTGAATCCTTTCTCCAACTCTCAACACAGGCCATCTCTCATCATTCCAGAAAATCCCATAGAATTAGTCCCCACCAAGCCTGTGAAATGGTGAAACTTCCATAAAGCTGACTGGGAAAAGTTTTCAAACCTAGCAGACACTGATGCACATCATTTCCCCACACTGGCTCAGCACATCGACCAAGCTTACTTAAAGTTATGCAACCTCCTCATAAGAGCAGCTAAGAATTCAATCTCACGTGGCTGTCGCTGACATTACATCCCTACCTGGGATGAGGAATGTGAAACCATCTAGGACGAGCTCTTGCACGTTGATCTTGGGGAGGAGTCATCGTCAAAAGCCTCTGACCTGACCAGCTGCCTTGATAAGAAGCACCAAGAGCGATGGGTTGAAGCAGTTCAGGGAATAGACTTCACACACTTCAGTAGGATTGCTTGGAAAACTCTCAACTACCTCACTGGTAGAAGTTCCAAACCAAAGATGTGTCCTGTGACAGCTAATTCCATTGGCTCAGCAGCTCGTCTTGAATAGCCCCTTCTCACTCAACGAGTTAACTGCAGCAATGGCCCAACTCAAGAGTGGCAAGAATCAGGGACCTGACAATATTCTCCCAGAATTCTTGCTACATCTTGGGTCATGATGTCAACAGTCGCTTGTGGAATTCTACTACTGCTGCCTCACTAATCAGTCTATCCCAAAGATATGGCAGAAAGCTACAGTCATCATGCTATCTAAACCAAATAAACCAGCCGATGATCCAAAGAGCTACAGACCAATCTCTCTTCTATCGGTCCCCTATAAACTTCTGGAGCACTTACTCCTTCATCAGGGTGGAACAAGTTGTCGCCAGCAACTACCAAATGAGCAAGCAGGTTTTTGCCGTGGCCGAAGTACTGTACACAAGATCATCAACCTGACCAATGACATCAAAGACAGCTTTGAGCTGGGACATGAAGTTGGCGCTATCCCAGTTGACCTCACTGCAGCCACTGTATGGCACCAGGGCTTGATCCTGAAGCTCCAACGTATGGGACCAGATCGTCAAATGGTACAGTTTATCAGCAGAATCATAGCCAATCAAAGTTTTGTGCTGAAGACCAGCAACGGACAGTCCAGCAGACCGTGCCACCTATGTAATGGGGTCCCACAGGGTTCGGTGCTCTCCCCCAAGATCTCACATCAGTGATATTCTACAGACGGGCTCCTGACAGTATGGTTATGTATATGGCCTTGCATTTCTGCAGGCTGTCCGAATCTGAACAAATGTGAAGAGCACTCTCACTTCAGACATGGCACAACTTGCTTCGTACCTCAAGACCAGGAGACTGAAACTGAGCATGGACAAAATTACTGTTACAGTATTCCACCTGAACAAGGAAGCCAACCGTAAGCTCACTATCAATCTTGATGGTACACCTCTCACTTATTATACAACACCGATCTACCTCAGAGTGAAGCCTGACCGTCGGCTGACATGTAAGCAACACCTGGAGTCCCTGTCATCAAAAGTGACCACTCGGATTAACCTTTTTAATCGTGTAGCTGGCTCAACATGGGATGCCGCAACTGCTACCATATGAACCAGTGCCGTAGCATTAGTCTACAGTGCTGCAGAGTATGCTTCTCCTGTTTGGTGTAGGAGCTGTCACAACAAGAGCCTTGAAACAGCCTTAAACAATGCCTCGAGGCTCTTTACAGGCTCTCCTTTGTACAACACCCACAAAATACCTCCTTGTGCTGTCAGGCATTGCCCCAGCGCACCTGCAAAGAGAACAACAAAACTTATAGTCTGGTTACCAAGGCAGCCACTGACTCCAGCCACCTCCTCAACAGCATTGTAGAGGGAGCCCGGGTTACCCCTCAACACTTGAAGTCCAGGACACCTTTCTCCCACCATGCAGCAAAGCTGAGAGACTCAGACTTCAGCCTCCTACAGTCCTGGGAAGAAAGCTGGGAGGAAACTAAACATCCAGCACAATTTACAGTGCCACCCAAGATGACTCCCCCCCCCGGGCTTGAACCTTCATCTGACGGAGTGGGTTTCAACTCAGCCATGCACCAGTGGGGCTTATGCTATCAGCTGCCTGTCAGTGTGGTGCTCCAAAACAGACAGCTCAACAAATCCTGACAGAGTGCCCTGAACTTCGACACCCCGCAGACCAGGACCTCAATGAACCCAATCCTACCACCATGAGGTGTTGGAGACCCTTTCAAAACACCTAGTTGGTGCCGCCTCATACGAGAGAAGAAGATTAACATACAGGTTGTATTGTGATCAATGACTGTTGCATGCAAGACTTACTCTGTGACTTTACTGTACAGTTACATGAACACTTTACATGTATTTAAATGCAATTTGACTTTTTACACAAGGAGTGATACCTGAATTGTCCATTAATTAATCATAGTGCTTTTGACAACCATTCTGGTGGGAAATCAAGGGGTGGGGATGCTGTATTTGTTGTATGGATTTTTAAAAATTATCACTACAGAAAATTATGAAAAGTTGCAAAACATTGCAGAGTATTTCCAAACTATATTTGTTTCTTTTCTCTTTTTTTGGGGGGGAGTATGGTTAAGCAAATGGTTTTCATGCATAGTTGAAAACTTGATCTCCTTTTTCATACCTTTTCCAAGGTGAAACAAGAAAAGTGGCATCTCTGATTAACTGTATAAGTAGTCTGGACCTTGGGAACATCTCCCAAAATTCCTTGGCTTTGGAAGTTTATGACTGATAACCAGCTGTGACAGAACCATTTTCAAAGTGGGGGGGGGACAGTTGTGAGACCATAGGGCATTAGCCATTGACATACCAACCCATTAAATCCAACCTTATTACAGCACCCAACAAAAATGTGTAGGGGGGGAACCCCCAGGAAGAGGGGGGACTGCCCCTCCCTCTTCAACTGCCAGAGCTAATGCCCTCTGTGGAGTTGTCGCATCTTCTCAGTTTTGGACAAAAGTTCTGCCCTTCCAACCAATGCAAAAAGACCCTCTTAGATATTTAAAAAGTGCAGTGAAAATAAAACATGTCTTACCAGCAGAAATGGTAACATCCAAATCACCCTTGATAATAGCCATCCCTCTGTTATTCTTTGTCAAATTCAACCTGATATCCTGGAGTCTAAGCATGATTGCTGACATTGTCAGATTCACATTAGGTGCTCCACCTCAACTTGGCTCAATTTGCCCTACCCTGCCCTTTCAACATAATTTACAAATTATGCAAGTTAATGGTACGTTAGGTGGATAAAGGTCAAAATGAAATACATGTAGCCCATAACGGTACATCAATTATTTCATGCTATTTACAGTGTAGCATGAAAGGGGAGTCCTTGTAATGGTTTT